TGCAATTGGGAAATAAGATATACAGGCAATGGTATAGAAATCTATCCTGCCTTACCAGAAAATAGAAGGGGAAGGGGATAAGAAAAGGGTGGGGGGAGATAGAAGGGAGGGCAGATTAGGAGAAGAGGTATTCAGAATGCATGCCATCTTGGGGTGGGGAGAGGGATGAGATGGGGAGAAAATTTAGAACTCAAAATCTTGTGGAAGTGAATGTTGAAAACTAAAAATAAATTAATATTGGTCTCTTCCAGCATTGCCATTTTAACCTATGCTGTTACTAAATCCATAAGCCATCTCTTTTCCTTTAAGGGAGACACTCCTGGGAACTGCATCACTGGAATTTACACATGGGACTTGAAGTAATGAATCATGCTTGATAATCCCCTTTTCTTCTGTTCCAATAGTTGAGAGTAGTCAGGAGTAGTTTGTCTTCTCCACCTGGGAAGTGGTACAGTATACCTTCACCATTCTTCTTCAGGGCTACCTGAACCATCCCTCATACTGCCACAGTCAGGTGGGCAGAGAATTGAAAGAGGCCCACTTCCTAAAGGCATTAAAATTAATGCCCATTGATATTATATTTATATCATTGATATTACATTTATATCATTCACTGATACATATGAAGACACAATGGGAGAGGGTCTAAATTGGCTGACAGCTTTTATAAGAATCAAGGAATAGAAGGTCAACCTCAAGAAAATCCAGGTGCCAGTCCATATGGTCAAGGTTTTTTTGGGGTTGTTTGTTTGTTTGTTTGTTTTTGGAATACATTATATGGGAAGAACTCAGATGATTAGACAAAGTCCAGAATGTACTACTGATACTCACTTTCCTATAGTTTTAAGAAAGCCCTGAATCTTATTGGGCTCTTGAAGTTTGGAAGAATCCACATTATCCACCTGGGCATATTGACAGGCCCTCAAAAGTTTGCCTCTTTCTAATGAGGTAAAAAAAATAAAAAGGAAGGGCAAGGGGGATAAACCTATCCTGCAAAAGGGAGCAGCATGGGTCCCAGAAGAATTGGCATTGATGCAGGTAGCCTGAGCAGCACTGTAGGCAACAGTGCAGGTAGGGCTGTAGGAAACAGCATGGGCAGTGAAAACAGAGCAACAAAGGCAGCAAATACAGGTCCTGATGCAGGCACCAGCATGGGTACACATGCAGCTGTCCACATAGGGCAAGTGGGGCCATTGTAGCCTTTCATTAACTGTAATCTTGGCAATGCTCAGGCCCCTCCACACTGCTTCCAGTACCATACTTAGGGATCAGTTCCATGATTTCCTTCTTTTAATGGATGAGGGGACAGAAGAACTCCATGCAAATACTAGAATGGAATCTTGAAACAGCAGCCACAAGATTATGTCACTCATTACCAGGGCTGGGTGTCTCACTTCCCAGAAACAAATTGAACTCTCCAGTCCAGCCTCCAAGAAAACTTACCCAACAAGGACAGGCTACTATGAGACATTTTTATGATTAACCCTTTCTATCCCCTTCCATTTTCCATCCTCTGTGAAATTGTGTAGGGCTTTAGGCCCCTCCTCCTTGGGAGGATACCCTAGGAAAATGGCTTAGATCTTTCAATTGGCAGGTCCCCTTTTCCCCTAGGATGGTTCAGATAACTCCTTCTTAATGAGGCTTAAGAGATCAAGGGTTAAAATTGGGGTAGGGGCAGGGATGCACTTTCTAAAGAGGGATGGGACTCTCTCTTCATTACTATGGTATGAGTTTACCAGAAAATAGGGATCCCTTAGCCAACTTTGTGGCAATCTGAGTCACCAGATGAGAGTACTAACCCAATTCTGATGGAAGAGGAGGGAAGTCCCTCAGAAGAGGTCTTTTTAGATGACCAAGGATTATTTCACTGAAGAGATAGAATAAATCAAGCTATCACCTTCTAAGCTTTGAAAGATGACAAGACCCATAAAAAATCCCCTCAGCAATAAAAACTGATAGCAGCAATAGCTGAGTCTAAAGAAAAGATATCCCTAAAGAAAGACCTGTTGGATCTACCCAGCTGCTAAGGCCCTATGTCCTAAGAGCAAAAGAGTAACCTTGCAACATATAGAAATGAACTTGTTAGAGACTCGAAGAAGGAAAAAAAGCATTCCCAAATCCAGGAGATACAGCTTAATCACATATATTCCCTCCATGTGTTTCATTCAGTACCTATGCACAAGAGGGAGAGTGTGCCCCAGTTTTTTGAGAAATATCTTAGTGACATCTATCCTTACCAAATCTCAGTAAACAGTCTTTTGTGAAGGCTAATTGGTATCAACTGGCTAATCAATATAAGGAAGCCTACTCCACATGGGGGCAATACTAATAGAAAACTTCTTAGTCATCAGTCACTCTCTGGGGCCCATCTGCCAATACAAATAGGAGTTAAGAGAATGAAGCCAGAAGGGATACAACAGGAGCATTTTTCATATGATTGTTGAGAGTCTGCAATTTTTCTTTTGGAACCTGTTTATATTTTTTTGGCTCCTAATCTAATTGGGAAATAACTTCTTATGTTATTGTGTCATATCTTGGATATAGCTATTATCAAGATATGGGATATGAATTTTCTAGCTGCATTGATTTTGCTCATGCAAAAGCTTTTTAACGTAACTGAAACTTTTTACTTTTTTTGTGATCACCCCTGAGAGGCAGCATGGAATAACAGAAAGGTAGCCATGGAGACTGAAAGACCTGCATTTAAGTTACACTTCTGACATCGACCGTTCGACCCCAAGAGAGTCACTTAATCTCTCATTGTCCTAGACAACTTTTTATGACAAGTCACAGATGAGTTGATGATCTGCACTGGGAAAGGGAAATTTTCATAAGAATTACTATGCCCATGAAATAAAAAGGCCCAGATTAAAAAAAAAAAAGCACAACACTGTGTTAGACCATGTAAAGATAAACCTGAGCATTCTTACCTTCAAGGTATTACATTGCACTGAGAAGACACAATGTATGGGGGGGAAATATACATAATATGTACAATTTAATTTGAGGACAGACATAGCAGTAAGAACTGGAGAAGAGGAAGATGGGAATGGTGGGAATATAAGGAAGTTACATGAACTTGGAGAAAGACATAGGATTCTGAAAGGCAGAAATTAGGAGTAAGTAAATTCAGATATCAGTGCAAATTAGGCAAAAATGAAACAATCTTTGTCCCCAAGGAATTTACATTCTGTGGGGGCTGAGAAGGGAGGAAACATAACAGGTACATAAATATATTCAGAAAACATACAAAATAAAAACAAGATAATTAGGAGAGGGAGGGTACTAGTAGCTGGGACAATTGGGAAAGGCTTTAGATAGAAGTATTTTAACTAAATCCTGAGAAAATGAGGGGACATCCCAGGCATGGGAGGCAGTCAGTAAAAAGGAGATGGGAGGCAGCATACCATGTGTGAGGGAATGCAAGAAATCCAGTTTAGTTGGAACATAACAGTGTAGAAAGGGAAGTAATGTATATATAAAAAAGCTGGAAAGATAGGTCCAGACTGGATATAAAGGGCTTTAAATGACAAAGAGAGGAATTTACATTTGCTCCTAGAGGCAATTGAAAGCCACCAGAGTTCATTGAGTAAGGGAGTGACATACTCAGACCTGTACTTTAGGAAAATCAGTTTGGCATCTTTGTGGAGGATGTATGGCAGGAAGAAGAAGAGGCAGAAAGACCAATCAGGAAGCAATATATTGCATAGTCCAGACAAGAGGTGAGGAAGGCTTAAATTAAGATGGTGGTCATGTGAATAGAGAGGAGTCAGATGGGAGCAATGTTGTAGAGTAACTATAAATGACAAAATCTGGCAACCAAATGGATAAATGGGTGAAGTAGGGTAAGGAGTTAGGGATAATACTGAGACTCTGAACTGTGGAGACTCTTAAGATAGTAATATCCAGGTGAGAAAAAGAGAAATATGGAATATGAATAAGAATTTAACTAAGTCCTGAGTTTGGGTCAATAGATAATGAGTACTGTTTTGAACATGAAAACTCTGAGATATTTATAGGACATTCAGTTAGAAATTTCCAATAGGTAGTTGGTGATCTGTGACTGGACCTCAGGAGAAAGAGAGAAGCTGGATATAGATCTAGGAACCGTTTCCTAGATGACAATTAAACCTATGGGAGGTGATGAAGTCATCAAGTGAGAAAAACATGGCAGTTTGGAACCAGTTAGTATAGAAACAAACAGCTCAGTAGAACTAAGAACTACATTATATGGCAGCATAGCATAACAAATGATATAAAACAAAAAAGTTCAGCTAGATAATTCATTCCAGTTACAAAATTACAATCCTATATTCAGAATGATGGCCTTGAATCAACAAAACAAGCTCAAATTTATATTCAGCATTCTCTATTTAAGAAGGCAAGAAAATTATTATTTGAGAAAAGTTTCAATCAACACTGGTCAAAATTTTTTTTTAACTGAACAAATATATAAATAAATGGGTAAGACCCAATTATCTCTATGATCCAGCTAACTTGAACTCCATTCTCTGCCTCCAAAACATATCCTGCGCTTTCATGTTCCTGTGTCTTTTCTGATGTTGTTTCTTATACCTGGAATACCCATCTGCCTTTTTCTTCCTCTACTGAATTCTTAGATATCCTTTAAAGCATAATTCAAGTGTCACATCCTGCAGAAATGCTTACATTAACTACAGCCTACTTCTTCTCCTCCACCAATAATGAATGACCTTTCCCCTTGGACCTCAGGTACCATTTTTTACATCTTTCATGTAATATTGTGTACTTCATCACAACTAGTTATCTTTGCAACTTATCCCCTTACTAGACGCCTTTGACAGCAGGAACTTTATCTAAACGTTGGAGCTCCCTCTGTGCCTAGTACAGGGCTCTACACAAAGTAGATACTTAATAAATGTTGTGTCTCAAAAATTTACTCATAGGGAATGCCTAATTCCCCATCAATGCTGGGTGAATGAGATGGTACTGTAAAATAACACTTAATACAATGCACTTACAATAGTTGTTTTCCCAGAGGCAGGTGGGCCCAATATAAAAATCCTTGGCACTGTAGAATGAAAAGATTTAAATATCAAATCTCAGCATCACAAAGCATCCTCCCATGTCTGCTGTACTCTGGGTGTATTTATTCCTCTCCTCTCCAGGATTTCATTTTCCTTAAATGACACAACCATTTGTAACAAGGCTACGCTGGAGATACTATTATCGTAGAACATATTCTCTGTGTTTAGAGAGGTAAGTGATCACTGAGATGGTTTATTTTTCTTACTCCAAGGGGACACAGATAAGGTAGCTTACTTGCTAAACTAATAAATATCAAGAACAATTGGGATTTCAAACAACATAAAGCATTTTAAACAGGAACTTTGTCTCTGAGACACTCACCCAAATAAAGCTGTATTTTATGTAAATCGACCTTCAAAAGCATTTTTATATTTATGCTTTTTTTATTTAGCAAATTGTATTCCACATCATTTTACCGAGAGAAATAATAGGAGGGAGTACATAGTGTCTGAACTAGATTTATAAAACCTAAGATAAGAATGTCTTTGTTTTCATATGTGGGCATTTCTATGCAAATAGGAATCACTGCCTGAGAGTTTCTGTGTCATACTCTGATGCTCCCTGCCCTAAAATAATTCCAAAATGGCCACAGAATTAGTTTGGGGTCTCTGGTGGTTTTGAAAGGAAAGACTGCCTTCTTAAGAGTTGGAATAGATAGCTGATTAACTGCAGTCTGGAGTAAAGGAAGAAGGGACCAGATGTCCCCTGGAGAGCCTTCCCACACCAAGGTGCTACATGGATTCCCTAGGGAATGTACTCTTGACTGTATCACATCGTTGTTGGATTTTTTTTTCATGCCCAGTGAAAGGAGGGAATGTGTCATACACTAGCAAAGGACAGGGGCATTGGAGATCCACCTTCCGTTCCTTGCTTAGTGACTGACCCAGGGAAGATAGCCAACCTAATTGAGCTCTCTGCAGGCCTCTTTTTTTCCTATCATATTTACACAATATTTTTAAGGTTTTCCAAGCATATCCTCAAAGGAAACCTAGGAAGTAGAAAGTGAAAATAATAATTATTACTATTTCTATTTTACATACAAGGGAAAGTCCTAGTGCCACAGCCAGCTCCTGAGCCCAGGTCTTTTGGTTACAAATGCAAAGTTTCTTCCACATCCCCATGGCTACCTCTGTCAGGTAGAGCCAAACTGATAGGCAAGGACCAATTCTTCAGTCAGGTATGGATCTCACCTGCTTTTGCAATCCAAATCCTTTTATTTTCCTAGTAGCTTTTTTGAGGGGACATAAAGAAGGGACTGGATAGTACCCCCAGTGAGAACACAGGGAAGGAAGCATGGTACCTTTCAAAAGAGAAAACTAAATGTTAAAAGGGAATGCAAGTGACTTCCTCAGCTCCCAGGGAGATATTCTCTTTCAGGCAGTTCATTGTCCAAGTTCAGTGTCCTTTCTCATCATTTCTAGGTAGGACTAAGGAAACTGAATTAAAATTACCTCTGGGAATGCTTTCCCTAGGAAGTCCTGTCTCCCTCAGTCTTCTTTTTTCAACATCTTTCCATCCTATTATTTAGACAAACAACAAGTTCCTCAGTCCATACTCCCTACTCCATTTAACATTAAAGGGAGGCCCCTTCTTTGTCAGTTTCTGTGTTTTTATAGTATCCCTGCATCTTATGCAGTTAAATATCCAAAAATAGACTTTGGATAGATTGACATCCACAATAAATAATGAAAGTGACTGACTACTATAGATCATCGCTCTAAACTCAACAAGACCTCTGGTTAGGCACATGGATGCTGCCTTTAGATGTGGATACAATAGTGTTGTCCTCTCTTTACTCTCTCTCGCTTTCCACATTGAATGGAGTTGGATGAGATGTAACATGAATAGGAAGGACCCGTAAATAAGATATGACTCCAGTACAAATAAGGCCAGAATTTAGACTATTCAGAAGGGCCCCAGCATAGAGGACTTTACCTAATTTATCCCTGTAAGCTGATCTAACCCTGGCAAGGGGAGCTGTTTCCTTTGTTCATGCTATTACCTCGACCTGAAATGCTTTCTACAGTCCTGCATCTAGCCAAACACTTTCCAGAGTTCAGTTCAAGTCCCATCTTCTCCATGAAACTTCCCCTGAACACTTCAGCTTTTGTTATTTCCCTCTCCTCTGAAATCCTGGAATACCAATCATTAGTACCACTCATTTTGATGCTTAAATCTATATTGTGCCTTGTTATTTAGCTTTTCATTTGTGCCTATTTTATCCCATCTAGACTGATTTTCTTGGGACAGGGATCATGTCTTAGACTTTTTTGTACATCCTACAGAGCCAAGAATGAGGACAGAATGAGGATATTCAATGAATGAAAGAGGTATAGTAGTAGGCATACCATGTTCCACTCATTTTTTTTGGTCACCCATTTGTAAAGCTGTTAAAGTCCTTCTTTTTCTTCCCCCTTCTCCTCCTTAACAACATATATATTGGCTGGTCACCTACAATACAGTTAGTCTTTCTGCCCCTGGTCTCTGATCTTTTCAATCTATTTCACATGGCTACTAAAATAATCTTCCTAATGCACATGATTAATGACACTTCCTTTCCTCAAAAACCTTCTGTGGTTAATTATTGACTATCAAAAAATAAAGACTCCTCAGGTTGGTATTTAAGGTCCTCTACAATCTGACTTGGAGCTGCCTTTCCAGACTTATTTCATATTCCTCTCTTTCATGCTCCTCTACATTGCTGCCAAATTCGACTATTAGTTGTTTCCTGGTCTCTTTGGGTATTCTTCTGCTTCTGAGAATTTGTGCAGGCCATCCACCAAGCCTAGAATCCACTTTCAGTTCATCTTTGACTACTGGACATCTTCTCTTCCTTCACATGCCACCTCCTCCATGAGTCTTCCAGGATCCTCACAACCCAAAGTTATCTCTCCTATTTCTTTTCCAATAGTCCTTTGTCTGGACCTCTTTTTTCCCTAACACACTGAACCTTTGATGATACTCATTTGTGTGTGTGCTATATCTCCCCAGTAGACTGGAAGCTTGAGGCCACAGACTCTATTATTCTTTTTCATCTATACATCACCAGCACCTAACACAAGGCTTTGTACATAATAAGTACTTAAAATAAATGCTTGCTGAGTGACTGCAAGGCACTGTGTCACATACTAGGCAAATCAGGACAAGTCTAAGACTAAGGCTCTGTCTTCTAGAAGCTTATAAGCTTACCAAAAGAATTCTCTAGATACTGAATCCTATAGGAATTGAGAAAAGAAAGATTAGCATAGGTTAGTATGGCCAGAGAAATCTTCATAGGGAAGATGGGCTTTGACTTGGGCCTTTGGAGGAGGAAATTTGAATAAGGAGATGTGCAGGAGGAAGGAGGCTATTCTGGGAGGAGAGGAGAATGGTCCGTCCAAAGGTCCAGAGGAAGGAAAGAGTAGAGGTTTGTTCAGGCAACAGCGAAGGGGAGTGCATAGGGGAAATGATGAGATCAAAAGCTAATTTTAGCATGAGCTGTCCATAACCTCTGCCTGCTTCTACAAAGCTTTAGTTCAGATGAGTTGGCCTTGTGTTTCTGTGTACTCTTCCTCCAACGACCTAAGAGATGGATCTCTCTCTCTGTCCCTCTCTCAGTCTCTCTCAATCTCTCTCTCTCAATCTCTCTCAATCTCTCTTTCTCCCTCTCTCAATCTCTCTCTCTCCCTCTCTCAATCTCTCTCTCTCTCTCTCTCTCTCTCTCTCTCTCTCTCTCTCTCTCTCTCTCTCTCTCTCTCTCTCTCTCTCTCTCTCTCTCTCTCTCTCTCTCTCTCTCTCTCTCTCTCTCTCTCTTTCTCTCTCTCTCCCCCTCTCTCTCAATCTCTCTCTCCCTCTCTCAATCTCTCTCTCTCCCTCTCTCAATCTCTCTCTCCCTCTCTCAATATCTCTCTCTCTCTCAATCTCTCTCTCCCTCTCTCAATCTCTCTCTCCCTCTCTCAATCTCTCTCTCTCTTTCTCTTAGAGGAAAAGGAAGATGTATCCAGGCTGGTGCACTCCTAGAATAATCCTGAGACCCAAATTACACATTCATCTTGACAAAGTTATCTTACTTGGAAGGCTTCAGGGAAAACCCTCCCCTTATTGGTTTCTGTAAGTGGCACCAAAATTGTACACAATCTATGAAAATGTTTTAAAAGGGGAACATCAGCTGCCTTTCTCTCCACCTAATTTCTCTCTCTCACATTATGTGATTAATTCTGGTTTCTTAAAATCTAACACCTTGAAACTCCAGCCCTGCTCATGAGTAATTATTTATAAACAGTGTCATAAAAGACTGCTTGAGTGCCAAGAGTAATCAACTTCTTCAAACCACTTCAAAGGAAATCAAAAAACCTTTCCATCCACAGATTCTTTTGAGGTTGAACTAGGAGGGTGATTTAAAATTCACAAGAAAACCCTTAGGTATTGGAGCTTTAATACACAGCTTTCTTGGACAAACGTTTGATAAAAAACGAAACATACCATTATATACACCATCTCATGCTTTAATATTGCCCAGGGCTACTGTAAATGCTCACTTTGTACTAAATCTGCTTTTCTCTGTGCTTAGGGGCTGGCAGCCAATGTGGCAGCGGGCTAGCCTCCTTTGCTCATCTGCACACTCTCCAGGGATCTGTCTGAAGGCCTGCTCCCCCTTTGCACCTGACACTGGGCATGTCGCTGTGTATTGTGTTTAACCCCCACTCACCCAAATCCAGGACCAATTAGCATAGGAGTTGAAGGCTGGTATGCCAGTTAACAAAGGCCCCTTCATTTTGCCCATGGAGACATGGTAGTCTAAGGCAATGGCCCAGATAATTCAAGCCCCTTTAAAAATGCCCTCAAATTACAGTGGAAAAACTGCTCAATGGATAGACAGAAGACCTGAGTTCTAATCCCAGCTGGACTACAAACTAGCTGCGCGATCTTTGATGAATCACTTTACTCTTTTGTGGCTCAGTTTCCTCACCTGTAAAATGAAGGAATAGATACAAATACTAAAATATTCATAGCAACTCTTTTTCTGGTAGGAAAGAATTGGAAACAAAGCAAGGGGCCATTCATTGATTGGAGAACCATCAAACAACTATGGTATGATATGGTATGGTATGGTATGGCATGGTATGGTATGGTATGGTATGGTATGGTATGGTATGGTATGGTATGGTAAATATAATGAGTTATTACTACTATCCCATAAGAAATGAAAGATATTTAGAATTCAGAGAAGCATGGAAAGACATATGAACTGATAGCTGCAGAATAAAGGAAGCAGAAGTGGGGAGGAGGGGAAAACTATACACAAAGACTATAACACTGCAAATGAAAAGAACAAAAACTGAACTCTACGTAAATTAAATGAGCTTGAGCCTTGAGAAGAGAAAATGGAGCTCCCCTTCTTCCTTAAAAAGGTGTTGAACATCATATACACTATCTGATTCAGTTGAAATGGTAGTTAGTTTTACTAAACTGCTTTTTTCCCTTTTTATTCTTTGTTACATGGGATGGTTCACTGCATAAGGGAGGGGGAAGAGGGATGTATTCAGAAGGTTATATAAAAACAAAAGACACCAGTAATTTTTTTTCAAATGAAGGAAATAATTTTTGAAAACCCATCCAGCTCTTGCATTTTAGTCTAAGATGTCAAATAAAGGAAATTTACAATTCCTATAGGATTTGGTGTCCAGAGTATTATTTTGGTACTTATCTTTTTTTTTTAATGTGTTCATGTCTGTCTTCAAGATTGTAAGCTCCTAGAGGACAGGAGCTTTGTCTTAGACTTGTCCTATTTCCCATACTGTACAACGCAGGGTCTTGTAATCACACTCAGAAAGTGGCTGGTTTTTTTTTCCCCTTTTACTTAGATGATGACCTCATTTCTCAGCTTGTCTGTCAGGGCAGCCCTATTTAAAATGGTAATACTATCTCACTTTTGTGGAATGTTTAAGGTTTACCAAAAAAAAATTACTCTAATAGGAGAATGTCAAACACTATTCCTTAGGTAAGAGAGACAAACATTTTTGAAGGAAAGAAAGGTGGGACATCTTCCTGGTGACACTTACTAGTTGTGTGACCCTAAGCAAATCACTTAACCCTGTTTGCTTTAGTCTCCTCATATGTAAGATGAGCTGGAGAAGAAAATGGCAAATCACCCCAGTATCTTTGCCAAGAAAACTCTAAATGGGGTCTCTGAAACAACTCAACAACTCCTCCACTTAAAATTCTACAAGGGCTTTTTATTACCTGTGAAGGAACCTTCAAACTCCTTTGCCTGGCATTCAATGCCTTCCCCAATTATGGGCTACACTAACTTTGTAACTTTTTCCTCAATCCACTCCTTGTCATGTCTTTCACAAACATGCCCAGCACTTTCCTGCCCCCATATTCTTTCTCATGCTCTTCCCTATGCCTAGAATATTTTGCATGCCCCGCTTCATCTTTTGAACTTTCATCCATTTTTAAAGCCCAGTTCAAACACTGCTTCTTCCATGAAGACTCCCTTCTGTCAGTAACAACCTTTCCTTCCTTGGGACTCACACGGCAATTCATTTTCACACTTTTCTAATGCAAGAACTTTGTCCCATCTCCTAAAGGAGTATCAGAGTATAAATACTTCTTTGCACTTAAGTAAACATATATTGTTCTCTGTTACCTACCCCTTATGTCCTATAAGTTCATCATTTGGGCTCGGGGGAGATCAGTTGATCAGAAGTCTCCTGATAACCTACCCCTCCCACTATACTTTTATCATGTGTTATATAGTTCCCAACTGGGCCCTAAGTTCCATGAAGAAAGAGCTCATGTCTCATATGAATTTCAGATCTCTCCCAGTGCCCAGCACATAAAAGCTCTGCTCATAGTAGGGGCTTAGTAAATGATTATTGAATCGGCACACAAAAACCTTTTTTAGGAGGAGTAAGGTCCAGTCAGACCTAGAAGCAGCAAGATGAGCTAGTTTCTAGATTAGAAGAACTTTCCTGCCCTAAGAGTATAAAATTAATTTGATAGGTGATGATGGCCTTGGGTTATGCTAGAGGCCTGAAAAGGAAAAGAACTTGGTTTTCTCTTTGGACCACACTTTGAAGAGACACGAAATAGAGTTTGGACAATTGATAATATCAAACTACAATTCCACCTAGGCCATCCTGAGACTACATTTGAGCTGGGGCACAGAACAAATTATGTAGGCCAAGCATGATAGAGTCAGCTGGACACAATCTGCATGGTAAGAGAATTTCTCACTCTCCCTTGTTCTTCCCCCTCTACCCACTACTACTTAAGAGCATTTCACATTGACAGCCATCTGAACACCACCATGAAGCATCGATGCACAAAGTCCCTCTCAGAATCTCTAAGCCCTAATTTCACTGATGCTCTGGTAGGTCTTTCATAATGGCTTATGTTCTGATTTGAAAGAAACATCAAAGCACCATGACACCAGTTCATCCTGACAGCTCATGCAGAACAGAAATGATAGTTCACTTGTGCGTAGCCAAATATAATCTGCCTAAGGGTGAACAGTTTGTAAATCAAATAATTTGAGAGAGTGTACAAGCATTCCTTGTTCCGGGTACATCTTTCCTCACCAATTCATCAGCTTTGGATTTCTGCTCATGCAGATATGTTCTTTAGCAGAAGTGCTCCAAGCATTGGAACTCATTAACAGATAATGAACTAATCAAAAAAGCAGAGATGCTGCCTATCCAGGTAGGACAGGAAGCCAAATTTACACCTGACAAGAGGGGTAATTAGAGAGCTTTAATGACAACAGAAAATATCAGATGGGGCACCAGAAGTATTAATAATTGATACCATGGAAGGCTCCAACATTCTCATTTTTATAACTGTTCAAGTGCATTTTACTATATGTGCTATCAAAGAAGTTAAAGCATCTAATTAATTAGCCATTCCAAATCCCCCCATTCCATGCTCCCTTTAAACATAAGAAGGAAAATTAAACTCTCAGTTTTTCTATCTAAGATAAATCACCATAATTATAAATATTGAGTTGTAGCTCTTAAGACCTTACCCATGTCATTGTCTCGACGCAAGTGATTCAACATAAACTGAATGGGTTCCTCTGGTTGGTGAATCAAGAGCTCCTGTAGCATGACCTGCAAAAAATTGGGGTTAGATCAGAAGAAAACAAAGTTAGCATCTCATGAAGACTGAAAGAACCAGGATTGTAAAAGCCCAGCCACAGACTCTGGGAGGATCTAGTCTGGCAGATGCTGCCACAGATAGAACTGATCATAATTTCCTATCTTGTTACCAAACTCTCCCCTTCCCCTACCCCCTACAGGCTCACCCAAAATGCCTAGGGCCCAACATGCCAGTTGGCAACTATTTGTGTCCAGATGGGCAGAATGACAAAAGAGATGGCTCTTTCAACTGAAATTTTGTGTATTTTGGATGAGGTGGGGAAATGGGGACCAAGAGACAAAAGTAAAGTGGGTCTACTTCTTGTCCAGCAAACCTTTTCCAACTTTAGGCCTGAGCAAAGTTTCTGAAGTCTGGTAACAATGTACTGAGTATTGTTAGTGGGATAGGCATAGGAACAGGGAAAGGAATAAGCAAATATTGTTTTATCCACCAGGTCTCTGTCTGTGTCTCTCTGTCTCTTTCTCTCTGAAATTCTCCAGAGCAGTGCTGTCTACTGAACTTCACTACAGTCTGAATGGTGTCTCAGATTATCTACATGTGTCCAGAAAAAAAAAAAAACAAAGGAAAGATGAAAAGCATGAAAATTAACAAAGTTTCTGATGGAAGCTGAATATGCAAGTATGTCAACAAGGTTTTTGTTTTTGTTTTTTTACTTAAGATAATTACTAAATAATTTTAAGTTACATCCTGGAGAGAGCTAATACAATAGTTCTAGAGATTACTCTGGCCTCCAAGGTAATGTCCAACTTTGGACAAATCACTTCTTTCTGGGCCTCAGTTTCCTTCTCTATAAAATCATGGGGTTGGAATAAATGGCCTCTAAGGTCCCTTCCAGCTTAATATTCAATGATTCTAGTGTTTCCACAATCATTCTTTACCCCCATAAGTAGTATACTAAAAACTCACTAAATATAACATTTCCTCTTTTTCTAATAGTTTAAATTCGTTCAGCTGTTCATAAAAGTTTATTTCTTTAGCTCTTTGTCTCTTCCTAGTCTCTTGGTGTTTTTCAAAGGTGATGGCTGTTTTTGTAAATTATCTGTTTGCAGATAAACTTTTCCAAAGCCAAACTCTTATTTTAACTGTTGTCAAGAGCAATCAGTACTAATTACTGCCAACTTCTAAGTACTAATTACTGCAAATGGGGGTGGAGGGGAAGAACCCTATCAATCCCAATTCCCCATTGGAGAAGCGTCTAGGAATCCAGGTTGAGTCGAGACCTTCACGCCCCTAAATTTGTCCTGAACGTCTCTGATGGGAAAAACCTTTTCAGTGGAACCTATTCCTCTGGGCTCTGGGCCCTTCGCTAACCCTCTACTTGTGTGACCCGGGCCAAGGCCAGAATGAGGCAAGCCCTTCTATCTTCTCTGTCCTGACGATCAGTAGAGGTGAACGAGGCGGAACAATCCTAGGACTTTGTCTTCCAACCGAGGACTCAGCTGCAGAAACCTCACCTACAAGGAATCGCGATCCCCACCAACTGCTAATGCCATAGAGGCTAGTAAACGAGACACCGCTCCCACCCAGTCACTCCAGTCTATCTACACCTGTCACGATACACAAGATGTGGGCGGCCCCCGAAAGTCTCTATGTTGCCCACACCCTAGTCGAGACAGGGGAGGGAGAGGTAGCCCTGGAGCAGCTTCCCGAGGCACCTGCATTATCTCGAAGATATGATGTCGCTCCCCATATTGGGGCATTTCCACTGGGATCTGATGGGGGGCTGTGGTGGCGTCCATGTCGCCGACAGTTGCAGAAGGAAGAGTTTTAGCAACCTGCCCGTCACTAGGGACGCGAACGCGCAGCCCGGTGCGTCATCAACCCGCGGCCGCCGCCCCGCTCCCGGGCAGCCACGCCACTTCCCCCTCCCCAGTGCCCCTTCTCCGCTCTGGCTGGGCCGAAGGTCGGGAGGGCCGCGGGGTGTGCACGGGCGAACAGGGGCACTCGAGCCCCAGACCCTGCGAACTGATCTGGGCCTGCGCCCACTGGCTGACACTAGTTCCCTTCGCCGTCCGACTGCCCTGTCTTTTCCTTTCTTCCGAGTGTCGCCGCTCTGCTCTCGTGACACCCTCCCCCCTCTAATTCCGCAGGGCAAGGGCCCTTGTCTGGGCAGCTGACCCCTTCCTTCCCCAGGAACCGAGTGTTGGATAAGGAATCCCCAACTCTGCCGGCGCTGGCCCCTGTGCAGTGCAGGAAAAGCACATCGGATTTGGACGTCAGATTTCGTAGAATACTGTTCTTTCAACTCTGCCACTGTGGAAACTCGGCCAAATTCCTGTTCCTCTCTGGGCCTCTATTTCCCCATCTGTAAAAGGAAGTTGAGGTAGATGGTATCCTCCCAGAGTAACCTTAAGCAAGTCATTTCCCATCTGGGCCTCAGATTAAATGATGGAGCTGGACTAAGACACAAGATGATCTCCAAGATCCATCTAGTCCTAACATTTTAGAATTAGGTGTTTAAATCTGGCATTTCGGATTAGCTCAGAGCTCAGGATGATTCTCCTTTTGGGGAGGGTTCCAGGCGGGGAGGGAGTTCCATACATCTCATGGAGGGTCAGAACTAGAGTGAAACGTTCGAGATCATTTAGTCTAATTCTCTTGTTTAAACTGAGGCCCTGAAAGATTCAGTGACTTGCTCAAGTTCACACAGGGAATCCTTGGCAAAACTGGAAGCTCTGCTCCAATGGAATCTCCTGTGCACACAGGCGCACAAAAAGAGACCATCCTCTTTCCCTACACCCAAATTCAGAACCAAGATCCTGGAGTAGGGTTGCTTACTGCGAAGGGGATTGCCTCGTGACCCAATTGCCATGGCACCCAAAGTAACAATAGCCCTCTAGCCCCACCCCCTTCCTGGGTCAGTCTTTCCCCTTCCCTCTTCCCTCCTCCCCGCTCCCATCCCGGGCAGTGCCCGGGGCCCATAAGCACCGGTGGGGTCGCAGCAGCTCAACTGACTCCAGGCAGGCGGCCGCAATTTCTGGACATGAAAGCAAGGTTAATGAAAATAAATGGGGGTGGGCTTACACCTGAAGGGGGCAACGGCTAGTCCCCAGCAGCAGTTTTCCTGCTCCTCTCTACTTAGTGTTATTACCAACAGGGCAGGGTTGGCTGGTCTTATAGGATTAATGAGAGAAGGGGATGAAGATGCAGATATGTAAGGTGTCCCTAGCTGACCACTAAACCTCCTCAACTGGAGGCTTGGTTTCCATGAGTGCTTCAGGCCAGTGGTCTCTGAGTCCTGACCTTGGGCAAATCATTTCCTCTCCCTGGGCCTCAGTTTACCGATCTTATAGATCTTATAGAATGAAGAGGTTGGATTAGATAATCTTGTCTCTAAGGACCTTTCCCTCCAAATTTTATGGTCCTGTAATTTCCATATCTGTTGAGGGGATGAAGGTGAAATCACCACAGTCAAGAAGTGGCCCTGTTCTGGGGAATCAAGCACAAGATTGGATGTGGTGGCCCCTGTAAGCCTGGGGAGACACCTTTGGGAGAATGAGAATTAGAATCTCTCCAACCAGTCCTTTCGAGATAGCCGTTTGGCTCCATATCCTGGGCAGGGGTTGAAATCTTGGGGGGGGTTTAGTTGACTGTTAATGCTTTCTTCTTGCAAAACTGGGCTCCCCCCATGGATTTTTTGGATTTTGCAATTGGCAATGTAATTGTTGTGCCTGATCCCCCGGGGGTTTCCATAGGATCTAGACTTACCCTATGCCAATTTCAAAGCAGTTTCCCCCAAAGCATTCTCTTTATAGTAATTAGGGCAGTTCTTTCATTATTATTCTACAGACCAGCATTTCCCAGTATGGGAAATATGGGAGCTGTTCCCAGAAACTCTGAAATCGATAAATGTTTTGTGGGAAAAGTTTGATGCTGGTAGTTTTGTGTCCCCTCCCACCAATTTTAAAATGAAAAATAGTGTATAATGAAATTCCACTTGTATCAGGCAATTTTTCTATATGAAAATGTTTTCTACATGTAATATAGCCTCTATTTTGTTCTAAAATTTCCTCAACTCTTATTTTTCCCTTCAGGGAAGGGAGGAGGGGCATTCCTGGCACCAAAAACTGCATTCTTTTCCCCCTACTGCCTTTATTTAGTTTGAAATTGTTGATGCTTTGGGCATGTCATTTATGCCCCAATTTCTGAAAAACTCAAATCCTTCCTGTTATTCCTCTGCTCTATTTATTAGGAACCTATCTACTGTGTGTAGACACTGCTCTGAGGGGTTGAAATCTTCTCAACCAAATTGTTTCTGATAAGCCCTAGTCAGCAAAGATATTTCTACTGAGGGCCTACTGTGTGCAAGACAGAGTGAACACAAACTTAACTCCGGCATTGAGCTTTAGTCCTGTAATATGGGCTTAGGGTTTCCAGTATCCCAGGAAAAACTTTCTGCTATAAATCAAATCATGAAGCCAATGCTAACCCATGAACTGAGAAATGTAGAAACTCATTTCATTTCTGAGTTGTGCTACTATGTGTATATCTACTATTTTTTCTTTTAAACAAAAATTGTTTAGGGGATTCATTTTAAGATTATGTGACCTATGTTGAGTATTGTCTAACCAGTTCAGCAGACCCAATGTTCCCTTGTGTTACTAATAGCTGAGTAGTCAGGGAGTTAACTTCTTAATTCAATAGCAGAAGGTGAATTCTTATCTCCAGTTATGGAGCAAACAATTTTCATTAAGAGCAATAGTGTTTGATGGAACTATAAGGAGGTTTTTTGTTGTTTGTTTTTTGTTTGGTTGGTTTTTTTTGGTCTAGACTCTGATTCTTGAAGACTTTAGCTGGTGGTTCTTCATACCAACAGTTGCCAGCCCCAGGCTTGGGTCTCTCAGCACTCAGACAAGATTTACAAAAGAGGGCCCTTCTGCCAACTCCCTATGTGACCTTGGGCAAATAAATCACTTCACCTCTTTGGGTCTCAGCTTCCCCATCCGTAAAATGACAGGTTTGAATGAGATATCCTCTAAGCTCCCCTCCAGCTCTGACCAGCTGGAGGTTTGGGGGGTTTCTGGTCCTGGCTCTGGCATGATGTAAGGAGGAATCTTGACTTCTTGGGTTGTCAGTTTCTTTATATACAATTTATCTCTAAGGATCTTTGCAGCCCTAAAACATCATGACTCTTTAGCAAGTTGTTTTCTTAAAGTGTACCTAACTTCATGGGTTCATCAAACCCCAATGAAGAGCAAAAAGAGGGGAAGAGGGGAGAAGATGCCATTGCCACTAGCACCACCACCTTTCCTTGAACAAAGAACAAAAGAAAACCTGCAGTTTGCACTGGAGAGGTTCACTTCTCTCCCTGGACATTTCTGAAATGGCTTGCCTTTCTCCTCGTTTATTTTAGGCCGTAGGCACTTTTCATACCATTATTTAATCTTCTTTTGCAGCCTGGAAAAATACAAATCAATTAAAGCCTAAAACCTATTGGGTAATCATTTTTTCCTCACTCACTTCTCCCCACACATTCCTCGCTTTGTGACTTTCATCCATACTAATTTGGTTGCAAGTGACTCTTGTACAAGGAGACATCACTTTGGATAGCTTATTACAGCTGCTCTCTTGACATGGATTCTGTGTGCATGTCATAAGTCACTAGGATGAAGAGCAGAGGCAGCTTCCCTCTCCAGGGCTTCTGGAACCACTAGACAAGGTGGCTTTTGCATCCTGAGAGAATGTGGCATCCAAAGGGGAACATTGTTGGGACCTACGCTTTTTATTTGGTAGCCAAAATTGACCCCTATCTCTTTTAGAGCTGGGCATTCAGAGGCACAACATAAGTCAATTCCAGCCATAACTACCATGTGTAGGATTGGGGGTAGGGGTAAATTTCACTAGAATGGACTGATAGGGCAAGAAATGAATCCTCTGTGTAGGTATAGAAGGAACTCTATCCATGTGCAGTCCATGGCCTTTGTCAGCAGCCAACTGGAGGACCAACATAACTTTCTCTCCCACTTTTGCCTTTAGCCCATCTAATCCTGGAGGTAGATTTGGGTAACTTTTCAACCTTACCACTACTTCTGGGATCCACTTGTATCTGTGGATACATTTACAGAGCTCATATGCATGGAAATGCTACCTTCATTCCACACACATTAAGGGCTTAGTATATTTTCACAGTTAGGCTTGAGAAGATATGTTCTCAAGTAGGTTATAATCTAGTTAGGAAGACAAGATAAGTGCAGATGAATGGAATGCAAACCAGAATATGCAGGCATTAAAGTCTGAAATATTATGAACTGCAGGTTGCATGTTTCTTTATTGCTCCTGCACACACACACACACACACACACACACACACACACACACACACACACACACCCCATTCAGATCAGAAGTGGCTAGAGGAAGGGAGAGAAGAAAACATTGAAGACTTTATGGGGTATGCAGAAAGGGAATGAATGAATTTCAAGTTTTATAATTTCTATATTTCCAGAATACAGGGTGAAGATGGGGGGAGGGGGGAGGATGGAGTTGGGAGCTGAGAAAGATGAATAAGGTTTAGGAAAGCTACTGGGGAGGGAGGGAGCAGGATGCAACAGGTAACTGAATCCACAGGAGATGAATGACAGAATTGATAAGTAACTGAGTCAGATGGCTGTCCCAGAAAGTGGGCAACCAAGAAAGCAAGGTCTAAAGTAAAAGACAATTAATTTGGTATCTCAGCTTTACTATATACTAGAATGGTATTCCCCTCACTGGTTCTCAGTTTCCTTATATATAAAATAGACGAAATTGTTCCTAAGGTACCTTGCAGCCAAATATTTTATGTTCTGAGAGCCCTAACTCTAACATTTTATGTTCTAAAGTCCCTTTGTATGCTAGAATATCATAATGATGTTTTTTTTCTCTTTCATTTTAATGCAGACAGCCTTCTCTCTGTCAATCAGTCAGTTTGTCAACAATTGACAAGTTTTTATTAAGGGCCTGTCAGGCACTGTGCTAAGAAATGGGGCCACAAAAAAAAGTAAAATTAGTCCCTGCTCTCAAGGAGCTCCCAGTCTAATGGGGGAGACTGACATGCAAAACAACACTATACAAATATAAAATATATAGGATTAATTGTCAATAGTCAACAGAGGGAAAACAGTAGCATTAAAGGTGATCGGGAAAGGCTGTTTATAGAAGGTGGGATTCTAGCTGGTACCTGAGGGAAGCTGGAAGGAGGCCAGGGAGGTCAGTAGACGAAGAGGAGGAGGGAGAGTATTCCAGACTTGGGGGCCATCAGGGAAAATGCACCAAGTCAAGAGGTGAAGTGGTTCGTTGCTGTTTTTGAAGAGCAGTAAGGGAACCAATGTCACTGGATTGCAGAATATGGAGGAGTGGGGGGAGAGAAGTAAGGGATGGAAAGACTGGAGTGC